AAAGAAAGAAAGAAAGAAAGAAAGAAAGAAAGGAAGAAAGAAAAGGAAGGATGAGGGATGGAGAAAGAAAAAGAAAAAGAAAAAGTTAGAGCCCAAAGGTATTGCATTGTGTATTGGCTTGCTAAGATTTTGTTTTTTATTTGTTAAAAGTATGTTCAGAGTTACACCACTCTACAGAAGCTCAGAGAAAGGAAGCCTATTGAATGCTGTTAATGCTTTTGAATGTCTAAATAAAGCGGTAGCAAAGCTATCAATATTTTGTCAACAGATCTATCATTTTTTATTTCCAATAATGTTCATGTATATTCTCACCTTCCTCTGGTAACTTTTATGGTGGATGATTATTGCATCAGGTGCTTTGGAAAACATTCAAATATACACTGAGTGGCCAGATTATTATGACCATCTCATCAATACTCCATTGGGCCACCTTTTGCCTTCAATACTGTGGGGATTCTTCTTGGCATTGACTCCATGAGATGTTGAAAGTGATGTGAGGAAACTCCATACTGTTCTCCACAGTAGTTGCAGTAGTCTGTATTCCTACCAGCAGTGCACCAGGGTTCTTCTAAACTAAAAATGGAACTTGTCTAAAACTAAAAATGGAACTTCCATTTGACCCAGTGATCCCACTTCTAGGAATATATCAAAAGAAACTAGAAATAACAAATAGAAAGGATATATGCACCCCTATGTTCATATCAGCAAAATTTGTAATTGCTAAGGTTTGGAAACAGCCTAAGTGTCCATCAGCAGATGAGTGGATTAAAAAACTGGTAACTATGCTATGGTAAAAAAAAAAGAGTTCTTACAATCTTGCAACAGCATGGATGGACTTGGAGAGCATTATGCTAAGTGAAATAAGACAGTCAGAGAAAAATAAATATCACGTGATCTCACTCCTTTATGAATTATAATGAACAACATAAACTGATGAACAAAAATAGATCCAGAGAAAGAGAAACATCAAACCTCAGAGGGAAGGTAGGGGAGGGTGGGAGTAAGGGGGAGAGATCAACCAAAGGACTTGTATGCACACATATAAGCCTAACCAATGGACACAGACAATTGGGAGGGGCATGACTTGGGAGGATGGAGGGGTAATGGGGGGATAAGGACACATATATAACACCTTAATCAATTAAGAACTTAAAAAAAAAGAAAGGTGATGCGAGGTCTCTGACACCATACCTAATGAATAGCACTGTCCAGTTCTGTGAGATTTGATGGTTGTGGAACCATCTGCCTAATGGCTCTTTTAACTTCGTCCACAAATGCTCAATTGGATTAAGATCTGGTGATTGTGGGGGCCACCTAAGCAAGGTAAAGTCTCCCTCATGTTCTTGAAACCACTCATGCACAATACGAGCACCATGGCATGGCTCGTTGTCTTGTTGGAAGAAGCCATCTCCATTGGGATATGCCATCAACATAATAGGATGAACTTGATCAGCAATGATACTTAGGTATGTTGTGCTATTCAGATATTGTTCTACACAAATTAAAGTGCCCAAATCATGCCAGGAAAACATGCCCCAAACCATAACACCAGCTTGAAGGGTTGTACTCATGTATGTGGGGTGCATGCTTTCATGCTGTTTCTGCGTAATTCTCACTCTGCCATCTGCATGATGCAACTGCAAATGTGATTCATTGGACCACATGACTTTTTTGCAATGCTCAACTGTCCAATCCTTGTGTTCCTGTGTGAATTGGATGCGTTTTATCTTGGTAACTGCAGACAGCAAAGGTGTTCAAACAGGCCTTCAGCTTCCATATTTCATATGATGCAGTGTATAGCTAATTTGCCTACAAATGTTAGGTGGTCACAATAATCTGGCCACTCAGTATATATATATACACACACATATACTCTGTAGGCTCAAAAGGTATTAAGGTACTTGTTTCTTTATTTTCATTACCTGTATTTATTTCTTTTAGCTACATCTAGTCGTTGGCCTTGCAGTTAGCAAAGTATAAAATAAATAGTACTAAAGACACACTATTAATACTGAGGAAACTGAGGCCCAGAGAACTTTGGTGATTCCTTAGTCATTATGTTCATACTGAATTGGATCTAAAATCTAGGTCTCCTGTCTCTTAGTCTATTGATTTTCTTGTTATACCAGTTATGAAACTGTTTCCTCTAAAGCTAAGTTTTCCCTCAGTTAATAGTGTAAACATCTTAGGATACTTTTTCTTCACTGCAGCAACCAACACATTTTTAGGGCAATAAAGTATTTTTTATATCAGCAGAACCAAAATACATTATGAAAATGTTAAAAGTATTACAGTTTATCATTCTGCTATTTGGTCTAAGTAAGTAGGAGAGCCTGTGAGGGTAACTTGGGGTAATAAAGTTTAATCACTGGGAGCTTTGGGGTGCTTATTCTTAATTGGTGGGCAATTAAAGATGTTCAAGGTTAATAGCTATGTTTTCTAAACCAGCAATTTCCCTCATAGAGAGCTTTCCCTGTGGCATTGGCCACACCTAACAATCAGTTCTAGCCCCTAGCCAGTAGGATAACAAATTTAGGAGCATAACCCTAAGGGGATTTAGAGATGAGGATAAGTATCTTAACTATGGTTGTAACTTTTTTTTGTTGTTAACCATCATTCAAGGATATTTTCCCATTGATTTTTAGAGAGAATATAAGAAAGAGGGAAAGACAATACGAGAAACACATGGATTGATTGCCTCCTTCAGGAGCTCCAACCAGGACCCAGGCCGGGGAGGAGCCTGCAACCAAGGTATGTGCACTTGACTGGAATCGGGCACATACCTGTGTTATGGTTTGGTTGCAGGATCCTCCCCGGCCTTTGGTCCACAAGCTGACACTCTATCCATTGAGCCAAATCAGCTAGGACTGTAACTTATAATTTTCTTTAAAAACAGTTTGGTCATCTTCAAAGTGCTTTTTTCTTTCTTTTATGTCCAAAAGGTTCTGGTTTTGTCATATAGATGCAACCCCAAATAGTACTTTTCAAGCTCCATAAAGCTGATAAAATAAAGTTTACTACTTAGTTTCAAGGCTAGTTGCTGGTTTTAAATACTGTTTGGTTAGGCATTTAAAAGATTAGTCAGTACAATCAAAACTGACTTGTTAACCATTATGAGATATTAGATAGACAGCTAGTGACCAATGCCTGCTCAATATATAAGGTTAAGACCTTAAGTAAATATTCAAATTGGAAGGGATCTTAGAGACTCTCGACTCATGCTAAACTTAGTGAGTTGAAGAGATCTGGGGAAACTGAATGACTTACCCAAAGTCTCCTACGTCAGCTAAATCTAGGAACTGATCTTTTGATGTCTGGCTAGAACACGGCTTTTTTTCTGAGCCAAATATTGCAGTTTCAATTTCACATGCGTTATAAAAAAATAATCTCAGGGAAGGCCAGTTAAGTCAAGTTTGTGATAATTTGGCAAGTTAAAGTCTTCAAAGCAGATGAAAACTAATTACTGAAAACAAATACCATTAATATGAGAAGTATAAGAAATTTATCCATGCCCTAGGATTGCATGCTTTGTTATTTTTTTTACTAATGAGTTAATCTTTGGTAAATTCTTGTATAAAACTCAGATGTTAATAACTTTGTGATTATTACACAGGCAGATGTAGAAGTTGTTTACACAATTCATTTCCAAATTTTGAACATTTCATCACTGAATGTAGTTTAGGGTGTGTGTGTACAATTCTCATTTATCTACTTTTATCAGCAGTACCTTGTTCACATAGACAAGGAAAATTAAGTCCAGAGATTGATTGATTTAATATCACTCAATGGGGATATTTATTCTGACTTGCCAATTCCTTCCTTTTAATCCTTTTATGTTCTCGTATATAATAAAAGCCTAATATGCTAAGTGTCTGGTCATCCGGTTGTCCATTCAACCAATAAAAGTGTAATATGCTAATGATATGCTGAGGCCACTCAACTACTTGCTATGATATGCACTGACCACCAGGAGGCAGATGCTCAATGAAGGAGCTGCCCCCTGGTG